AATGCTGCCTGGGGGGCGGGCCTTCATCTCAGAGCCTCCGTTGCCTGTAAAACGACGTTAACCTTGAGGTCCAGTTCTGTGTTGACACGAACACTGCACCCGTGACCACCCTCCGGGAGTGAGGGGTGACTTCCTGTTGGGAGCTTTGCACTTTTCATTTCTACTCCACATGATGATCTTGCTGGTGTGTGTTTTGATCCTGGTTTTATAGATGTGGAAACAGGATTGGAGGAGGGGAGGTCACTTGCTTAAGGTCATGTAGCTGTAAAGATAGTCAAGGAAGGAAGTGACCCACATCTGTTTTAAGTGCCTTATTTAAATTTGGAAACCCTAAGCTGTGCTATGCAAATATTTGCTGGTACAGGATCAGGGCCAGGAGTGTGGGTGTGGATGGGGGTGTCGGGTGACCACCTTAATGGACTGTAGGGGTCTGGCAAGTGTCATCAGTAAACATATTGTGGGCACGATGTATTAGGGGGTGGTGGGGACCTGGTAAACTGGGTCTGCTCTGCTACAGCCACGCCTGGACAAATCAAGTGGGTCCCTAGCACAATTGGTCCCGGAGCCACCAATGTGCGGCCCTCGGTCTAGTAGGGTTGCATCCATCCTTGTACTTGACCCAACAGTGTCTCTTTTTATATTTCAGAAGAAATGTACACACGAATCGCTGGGGATCTTATTAAAATGAAGATTCTGAGCCCATGACTCTGGGGTGGGGCCTGGGAGTCTACACTTGTATCAGGGTCCCAGCAATGATGCTGCTGCTGCTGCTGCTGCTGCTGCTGCTCCAGGGCCCTGGCTCTGTCAGCAGACAGTGACATGGCCCAAATAGCTTTATCCTCCGTGACAGATGAGGCGATGGAGTCACAGTTAATGAAGGTGGATTGTAGAGAACCGCTATTCTCAAAAAAAAAAAAAAGATTAAAATTAAAATATAAAACCAGTGTCCTCAGCCACAACGTGATGCCGCAAGCTTGGCGTAGGTGTCTTGGCGGTCCTTTAATTCAGCCACTGGAAGCTAAACAAGATCTTGAGGTGACAAACCCCAAACTCAAGGTCATAAAGTCGGGGCCACCTTGCAGAACTGCCCCTGTGGATTTCTGAGACTGTAAGTCTTTATGGGAATAGAAAGCCTCACCTTTCTTCCATAGAGTAGCTGGCAGTCTTGAACCGTTGACCTTGCCATTAACAGCCCAACTTGTAACTATTATGCCACCAGGACTCTGCCCTTGAAGTGAGATGGGTTGGCTATTACCACATTGCTGTGCATACCCTCCCTGCTGTCCTGCATGAGAATATTTCTACACAGCCATTTGCACAACTGATACACCTGCATCCCTTGGCCTGTGGGCTCTCTCTTGCACTTGTGACATTTGGGGTGGGGGTGAGAGGCATGCTAGGACATTGACATCCTGGTAGCAGCTTTGAATCGGTGATTCACGGGGGTGGGGGAGGTGGGAGGGTGGGAATCTCCCCATGTCCTACCCCTCACCTCTTGGGTGGGGGAACTAGGCAGTACACATTCTACACTGTTCCCAGGACAAGTGAGCACCAGGGGCCCAAGGTGGTCTCTTGCTTGATAACGCCCCCTGCCCTGTCTCACTTCCTCATGACCCACACAGGGCTTCCAGGTTCTGCTGCCCAGATAAACCACCTGCACCCGAATCCTTATCTTTGGGTCTGCTGGGGGGGAGGGGGAGCTCACCTGAGGCAGCCGACTATGGTGGCTAGGGACATAGGTTTGGTGCCAGGTGGCCTGAGCTAAAGCCCTGGTCCTGTTTTCTTGGTCATGTGACAGCCATCCTGTGCCATAAGATCTGTGGGGTAGTCTTGGGGAGTCAATGAGACTGTGCCTATAAGTGAGCACCCCAAACATTCGCTGTTCTTTCACACATGCCGCTGTCTGTGTGGTGGAGCCTGTTCTGATCCTGTGTACAGCAGAAGGTGGCACGGGCCGGCTCCTGTTGCCATCCTCACAAGCCTCCTGGTTCTGTCGGAGCCTGTTTTTGCAACCACGGTGCCAGGCCATCTTTTTGGGACCAACCCTCCACCTTACCAAGCATGGACTCCTCCTCCAGGGTCTGGTCCTTCTAATGTAAACCAAACCCAAATGCACTGCCATCGATTGGCCCTCCTATAGAAGGAAACATGGCCCCGTGCACAGAGGACACGCTGCTCTTAGCCTGCCCTTCAGACTGCTGCTTCACACACACGCCCCCAACTGCGCTGGGAGCTGCTGGCTCCCCCACCGACTGTCTCTGCTCTCTAAGAATAGGCTTCCCTCACAGATGGCAGCTCTCTGAATCCTGCCAGAGCATCTGCTGCCTCCAAGTGCCCACGCCAGGGAGGAAAGCAGTGGGGCCCTCGCTGAGGACATGGCTCTGGCTTCCAGCAGACCTGGGGGGAGCCCCGCTTGGCTTCCTCCTAGCTGAGTCTCTATTACCCCTTCTCTGTACCAGGAGAACCACCCGAGGGTCGTAGGCAACCCATAAAAAGCCGTCCCTGAAATAAGACGGTGCATTTATGAAGCACCTGCGCCATTCCTGTTACGACTTAAGACAACTATTCAGAAAGCAAGCTGCCACGCTCATAATGCAAAACCCACACCGGTGCGACCTTGCTTACCCACACTGGTAAGCCTTGCTCTGCCCTACCCGGGAGCTCGCAGGGGTGCATCCTGGTGCGGGCTTCTGAGGGTCCATATGCACAGGCTCTCATCCCTGCCTGTTGGGAGACGACTGGGCAGTCCTGTCCTTTGTCCTTGTTGTGTTGGGTCCCCTCCAGCCTGTGAAGGATCATGGAGCCATTGCGGTACTTCCCATCCCCTGTGCCTCCCCACCCTCCGGCAGGACCTTCCTGGCATCCTTGTGGCAATGAAGCAGCCCAGACGCCCTGAGCCTTACGGCCTCCAACCTGCTGCCGTCCAATGAGTCCAACTCCTGGTGACCCTCTAGAGCAGGCGTCCTCAAACTACGGCCCGCGGGCCACATATGGCCCGCCGAGTGTTTTTGTCCCATTTGTTTTTTACCTCAAAATAAAATATGTGCAGTGTGCATAGGAATTTGTTGATAGTTTCTTTTTAAACTATAGTCCAGCCCTCCAACGGGTCTGAGGGACAGTGAACTGGCCCCCTGTTTAAAAAGTTTGAGGACCCCTGCTCTAGAGCAGTGATTCTTAACCTTCCTAATGCCACAACCCTTTTATACAGTCCTCCTGTGGTGGTGACCCCCAAACCATAACATTATTTTCGTTGCTGCTTCATCACTCATTTTGTTACTGTGATGAATCTGGCGACCTCTGTGAAAATATCCTCGACCCACAGGTTGAGAACCGTTGCTCTATACGGTTTCCGAGGCGACTTGTTGGTTTGAACCATCAAGCTTGTGGCTAGAAACCCAACATTGGCCCTTCTGAGCCTTGTGGCAGATGTGGAACATCAGACGGTGGAGCCCCAAGGGAAAGACATCTGCTTTCTCGATGAGGCACAGCCTTGAAGCCCCGACGGGTCTTCCGCTCTGTCCTGCAGGGTGGCCGTGAGTGGGGATGGACTGGGGAAGCCGTAGGTTGGGGCTTGGGGATCTGTGGTTCTCCCAAATTAGAGCTTGTTAAGTGAGCCCATGTGAGAGCGATGATTCACAGGCTGAGAAGCCAAGAAGCTGCCTCCTGTGATGCTCACAGCCCGGCCCCTCTGCCTGGAAGGCTCCAGAAAGGCTCCCGGGGACAGGCATTTCTTGGCCACATTATTGGCTGCCCACTCTCGGGAGTGCATTAGGAGTCTGGAGCGAATCGCTTATAAAACCCACACCTTCCCAAAGCAGCAGAACACAGTGTTGCTTTCTTCCCTGAAATGAACCACTGTCCCCCACAGCCTGTGGCTTCCCAGGGGGTGCCTGCCAGAGCGAATGAGAAAGGGTTTATAAAAAGCCATGAATTTCATCTCGCCTTGGCTTGTTCCAGATTCACGGAGAGAGCCTGGAAGAGCTTCCTGGTGAGAGGGCGTTCATTTTCGGCCCAGGGCCTCCTGGGGGGTTCACCTGACTGACCTGCAGGCCACACCCACAGAGGGGGAGCCGCCTCCAGGACCAGGTGCTCAAAGCCGGGAGAGATGTCATGAGTCACATCCTAAACTGGACTGAAACCGGGCCAAACTGAAACACAGGACCCAGGCTCTCTGTTGGGCACCTTGTTCTCACTGATGTTCCTGGCCTCTCAGGCCAGAGGCCAAATCAATGCCAGCTTTTAAAAAATTCTCTCTCTCTCTATCTCTCCTTTTCCATATTCCCCCTCTCTCCTCCCTCCTTTTCTCTCCCCCCTCTTCCTTCCTCCTCCCTCTTTCTCTGGGTTAGGGACTTTTTTGGCATCAGTTTATAGATGCTTCCAAGAATGCGGTTTTTAAAACTTGTAAAGAAAAAAATAAATAAAACCTGTAAAGAAATGCATGTAATTACAAAAGCGACCAATGATATTAAAAAGAGTGACCAAAATATTAAAAAATGTGTGATTCAGTACATTATTTTTAACATGGTCAATAACGAGTCAGTCATTTATAGAGGTATAAATACAGGCACATACATATGTAAATATGTATATAACAATGGGCCATAGATCTATGTACATATATTTCCATGTTAAGTATTAAGGCAACAAATGGACATTGGGCCTCTGCTCAAGTACTCCCTCAACACAAGAACATTTGGTTCTAACAACCTGGCATTCTGTGATGCTCACCTTCCTGACACAATCCTGAAGACAAAATGGGCACATAAGCAAATGTGGTAAAGAAAGCTATTAAAAGATATAGTGTATACATAAATAAATAAAAATAAAAGATAATATCATCTGGGGTCTTAAAGGCTTGAAGATAAACAAGCGGCCATCTAGCTGGGAAGCAACAAAGCCCACATAGAAAAAGCACACCAGCCTGTGTGATCATGAGGTGCCGATGGGATCAGGAACCAGGCATCAGAAGATTCAAAACAATTATATCAGTGTGAATGAGGGGGAGTGCAGAGTGGGGACCTAAAGCCCATCTGTAGACAATTGGACAACCCCTTACAGAAGAGTAACAAGGGAGAGATGAGCCAGTCAGGATGCAGTATAGCACCGATGAAAGATTCAACTTTCCTCTAGTTCTTTAATGCTTCCTCCCCCACCTCCCATCATGACCCCAATTCTACCTTACAAATCCAGCTAGACCAGAGCATGGACACTGGTACAGAGAAGAGCTCGAAACACAGGGAATCCAGGACAGATAAACCCCTCAGGAACAGTAATGAGAGTAGTGATACCAGGAGGGTAGGGAGAAGGTGGGGATAGAAAGGGAACCAATCACAATGATCGAAGGTGATGAACAACAGAAGTGTGTGTGAAGGGAGACAGCAGATGGTGTAAGAGATGAAAAATAATCATTTATAATTTATTAAGGGTTCATGAGGGAGGGAGGAAAAATTAGGAGCTGATACCAAGGGCTCAAATGGAAAATGTTTTGAAAAGGATGATGCCAACCTATGTACAAATGTGCTTGATACAATTGATGTATGTATGGATTGTTATAAGAACCCCCAAGAAAGTGATTTTTTTTTTTTTTAAATAACGAGTCAGTAACAGACTCAGTAACACTCATCCCGTAGCTACCGCAATCTCAAAGCGCACAAACTACGTGCCGGCAGCTGTGAGACAGACCTGGGTCACCGCGGT